GTGTTAAAAATAATAAATAATTATGGAATTTTTCGTTTTTCATGGAGAAATATTTTTGTATTAGTCTATTACGAATTAGTCTGTCTCATATTTGCAGATGCTAGTTACATTTAATTTAAAACAGTGATCCGACTTACTACATTCGGTTGTGTAACATAATTTAAAATACATATAACTACATACTTTATATTACTCGAATTCAGTCTTATATAATATAGGTACATACTACATACTCGTATATACTATCTGTAACAGATTTACATAAAAAAAAAAAAAAAAAAAAAAAAAAAAATGATTAAAATAAATTAAATTATTTAATTGTATGTCGGAAGGCCGCTGTAAATCACTTATCAAATGAATTTAAATTTATATAAGTATTATAGTACCGGGTTGTTGTAAATGAGATATATACAAATTTGCATTGATGTTATGCACAATCTTCCGAATGTATGCAGTCCGGTTAAAAGTACGTTGAAATAAAAAAAACATTAAAAAATTATTCTTTTTATCGTTAAATAAATAATATATTGCACTGAAGAAAATCTTAAAACGTCATATTGATGGGCGACGCACATAAATGCGAACAAAACCAATGTCGTATAACTAAATTATTTATTGATAAAAATATAGTAAATTTATCTCATATATTACTATTTGGCATATAGCGTAAAAAAGTGTCTGATTGTTTTTACGAATATTGCTGTGTTAATTTTGCATTAGAATTAAAATATAAATTTAAGTTCAAACTAATCGTACCTTGAGCTAATAATATTTGAATATTTTATGACAATGTTATTTTGTATTTCTCGAATTGTTTCAATGGATCTATTTTAATATTATAAGGCATTAAAATTTACCATATTAATATATTGTTTGGTATCATATACTTTATCACTTTCGGTCTTCTATATTACATTCGGAACATTTTGAGAATTCCAACTTTTAAGTTTTTGATATTTACATACAATATCTACTGTCATTTTACTATCTTGCATGCTCAAAGATTACTGTTATGCCCTATTTTGTCCAAATATAGATAGGTATCTCAATTGAGTACAAATACATATTGATTGTAAAAATAACGTATCTATGCATAAGTAATATAAGAATAATAATAATAAAAAAAATCATTTAAATGTTATATTATTTAATTTGTTAATATAAAATTACAAAAATATCAACTTTTAACTTAGAAAATTATGAATACAGTCAATTCATAATAGTACGATTATTATTTTTTATAATGTTTTTATTATTCAACGGATAAATAATATAAACACTTTAATGATTAGGTACATACTACACATAGTCAAATTATTATAAGATATACATGGTTTAATTAATAAAAGGCAGACAATGAAAAAAAATGTATAATGTTTTGATTGATTTTTATAAGCTTAAAATTAGATATTTTTTATTTATAATATTGCAGAAGTTTCAGCTAATAAAGCTTTCTTACCTTTAATGGATAAGAAAGTAGCGTTCACGCCAAGTATTATTGGCTCCTGTGAATGCACTTTATTTTATTTACATTGAGATATATAAGATGCAATCGGCATATTTATTTAGTTTTAATAACCATTGAAGACAATATTTCCTACCTGTTTTGTACGGGCTGCTATAAAGCAAGGAAACGAGGAAAAAAGGTCTCTTCGGACCACAAGGTTTATCACACATAGACGTGTTTCCAATATCCGGGGTACGTGCGCTTCCCGTATTTTTTATAATGTATACATATTTATTATTTATACTAATGTAAAAAAAAAAACCACAAACAAAACCTTAAATCCTTATTTGTACCTGATTGAACCCCTCTTACTCAGTGACCTACTGGCCTATCAATTGTTTCCAGGACCAATATACTCGTAACAATATTTACTGTGATAATGTATAGTGTAGAATATCTTACACGTACGTTTCATATTGTCGTAAAGATGAAGAATAACAATAAATCGATGTGGGTTTAGGCGAGAAAAACAGTTAAAGAATAAATATATATTTGGCCGTTATAAATATTACATACATATTAAAATATTATACGAATATTATACGAACCGCCCGCAATGTTAATAACTCGATAGGGTTAGGTACGGCGTGTAGACTTCTATGTGTTATAACACGTTTGCAGTAATTAAATGTCATTAACGCCAAGAAATAATCCCGTCTCGTAACACGCATGCACACATTTTTCGTTTTATACAGTGTATGATTAACCAATTGAGACCATCTGGTAACAACTCAAGAACTATTTAAGGGGATTTTCAATATCACAGTTGTTAGATATGATTAACAATACGTACACTACTTTACATTTTTTGACGATTGTCGGTTATCGTTCTTAAGGTTTAAAAATGCGTCGTTTCGATATGCTTTTTGAGCTAATACTATTGTATACGTATACATAAAATAATCACTCTGTACACTAATATTATACTTACTATTGACCATTATACGGTCGGGGCGAACGACGATTGGTACTGTTTGTGACTATTGGCAATCCGCGGGTATACGATATATTCATATAGCTATATCGCATATAACATTTTAGTGGGCGAAACAGGTGTCTGTCTCTTTCTATATAAAAATATACATAGTAGATACATAGTAGATAATATACGCACGCGCGATAATAATATAATATAATAACGTAATGTATAACGACGAACACGAAGTCGAATTGCCCACGATGACTCGTGGTATATACCTATGTATATAAATTTATATGTGTGTGACCTCGTCAATGATAGCATAATAACACACACGCACGCCGGGTTGTCGGTACCTGTATTACATTTTTTTATTCGTCCGAAAGGTTTCCATAACGCGATAAAAGACTTGTGGCTGTCCGGGCGACGAGACTGTAACATAATGATATCATAATATTATTACTAGGTTGATGAACGTATAGATTACATAAAAATAATATAAACGCTTGATTTGCATATATATATATATGTATATGTCTCTTGTTTACCGCGAGTACGATTTTTTTTTCTACACATCGTATATTGTAATGCGACAACAACTTATTTTGCTCCAATAAACCGTCTCTCTTTGTATATTAAGTAGTTTCGGTAAAATATTGCACGTGTTATATTATTTTATTAAATATTGTTGTCCTGCAGCGAGTATCGACTTACATATCATACAGTATCGTCCGAGTTCAGTAGTGGTCGTGCGTCATGACATAATCGTAATATCATATAAGTGACTGGTACAGTTTATATTATGACGTCTCTCTGATTGGTGCGAAAAAAAAAACAGTTCAAATCGTGTTCATACACTTCTACTTGTTTCACGATATAATATTGTCAAACATCACATTATATAGATTTCAATCACTAAAATAATTGTAAAACGTTGATTATTAAAATAACGCGCGTTGTTTTTGCGACGTGCATCATCGCCAACAAGCACGACCGCAAGTCTAAAACGGTTTACAATCGTCGCACTTTTATTTGGTACTAGATACCATTAATATATCCATGTGCTGTAATTCTATTGGTCGGTGGCATCATAAATAATAATAGTAATATTAACTATTAACTAAGTAAATACATAATAAATTTCCAAGGGGTTTAAGTACGGTGAGTAAGTATAACAAAATATTGCAATAAAGAAAAATATATAATAATCTTTCAAATATATATTGTATACATGTTTTTAAATAATGAAAAGAAACTAAAAACTTTTGCCTTAATTACACAATAATTAAATAGGTAACAACACATTGGGTTATTAGATATTATTAGATAAATAATTTAAAACAAAGGATGCACTATGCCTGAAATTAAAGAGTACATTCAAACAGAGTTTTTGTAATAATTATTCAGGGCAGTCGATAAATTCGTTCCTGATTTTATTTTCACAATCAACGTAAAAAACTAACTGCTTAGATTTTAATGACTTTAACTCTGAAAAAATAGGCGATTATATGAATGTTATCGGGGTTGATTTCTCTAAATACTTTTCTGCGGGTACTTAATAGTGACTTATATTTAAGCTAGGATATAATTTTAAAGGGTTAAGCAATGTGAAAACAGTTCGGCACTCATGTAGTGAATTTCAATGAAAAAAAAAAAGGATATAATTTTGATCATCATACCAAAGAGATACATTAATGAGTTGTACGCCATGCTCGTTGATTATCCCTAGACTTTGACAAAGACGTCCCTAAACGATTTTCTAGGGGGAGGGGGAAATTAATCTAAAAAAAATGAAGACTTTTTTATACATTCATAAATATCGGCCTATTAAGTAATATATTTATTTATTCATTTTCTACTGGAATATTTAAGGAAATTTAAGTATTATATTGTTATAATAAAAGTCAAAAATTATAATATATCAAATTGATTTACATCCTGTTACCTTTGGCATAATTTAATCTTCTATATTTTTTTTAACTTAAAATATTAAATGATCGTATAATTTTATAAATTACTAATTTTTTACAGTAAAATACACATTAAATAATGAAGAAAATAACTTTATTCTAAATAATTAAAAATAATAAATTAATAATAATTGTAAACAATTTAATAATAATAATAATCAAATATATATTATTATAGATAATAATCAAAAATAACAAATTAATAATAATTGTAAACAATGTTTTAAATAAACAATAAAAATAATAAATTCATAATAATTTTAAACAATGTTTTAAATAAACAATAAACAAAATAAATTCATAATAATTTTAAACAATGTTATAAATAAACAATAAAAAAATATAAATTCATAATAATTTTAAACAATGTTTTAAATAAACAATAAAAAAAATAAATTAATAATAATTATAAACAATGTTATAAATAAACAATAAAAATAATAAATTCATAATAATTTTAAACAATGTTTTAAATAAACAATAAACAAAATAAATTCATAATAATTTTAAACAATATTTAAATAAACAATAAAAAAAACAAATTAATAATAATTATAAACAGGGTTTTAAATAGACAATAAAAAAATAAATTAACTGACAACTGTCAGTTACTCCAGTAGAAGTTACCATAAAATGCAGTAAGTGAATTCAACTTACCATTAATAATATTCTGTTGAATTTCAACTTTTCCAAAGCCACTTCCCAACCACATACACTGAAAAATTATAATATAAAATTTAGTTTAAACTTAACACACTGATGATATTGTGTTTTACTTCAAATATATTAGTATTTTTTGGCATATGAAATGCAATGTTAGGTGCTATAGTTTTGACAATGTCAAAAATACTAAAACCTCCTCCAAGCTTATCAGAACACATGGACTCAATACTATAACATTTATTTTTCGAATATTCTGGACCTCCCCATGGTGGCGACATGAAAACAACATCAGCTTTTAACGTTGGGTAAATTTCAAACAAGTCACCAACTATAAATTCGATTTTATCAGCAACGCCATAAACCTCAGCATTATGGCGTGCTAATTCTATCTTAATCGGATCGATATCAACTGCAATAACTAAATAAAAATAATGTTATTAAAATTTATACTAATCACATAACATTGTACTAATAATACCTTTTTTGCATGTCATAGCTAGTTGGATTATATTGCCGCCTGCTCCGCAAAAAGGATCCAATACAATTTTATTTTTACAACGTTTTGCTATATGACGACTTAATACTTCGGGACAGACTGAGTAAAAGCTTTCTGTAAAATAAAATATGGTTTCAGAGAATAAAATTTAACATATTCCCTGTTTACCAATCAATGTCTTACGAGTTATAGGGTGTGTCTAAATATAATGCACGCACCTTAACTTATCCCACTTATCTCTAAATTATTTAAATACCTATGTTTATATTATTTAGAAAGAAATTTTATGAAAATATATGTGCAGTCAACATTTTAAGCATAATACAATTTAATTACCAGTGTCCAAATGAATACCGCGATCAAAGTTTTCAAATAACATGTGTCTCATTAACCAATATTTAATGGGAATCTGTTCCGGTGTTTTTGTACAGTTTGAGTTGTTTGAGTATTTTCGATTTATAAAATTTTGGTAATTCTGATAATTTTGATAGTTCTATTATAAAAATATAAAATACTAAATTTATCTAACTATATATATATATATAAGTGCACATAGTGTTTTCCATATTATTTTTAATAATATGGTTTAATATTATATGTATCAAGTTTTTATTGAATTATATTCAATATGTAATCAACAAAGCTTAATCTTGTACATATGAATCTTGTTATTCAAAGTTCTAAACATTATGAATCTCATGAAAATTATTGCATAACATGCATTAAAACTCAAGTATCATTTATAGAAAGTAAAAATTATTTTGAAATTTATCCACAAAATAATTATCGATTAATTGCATTTTAAAATTTAATTTTTAAAACTATTATTAAATTTAAAATATATTTCATACATGATTTTCAATTTTTTCATTGTAGTGATATTTATCCGGGAATGTTTGAAAGATTATTGGATTTTGATTTTTTCCTTTTTGATTGTAATTATCAGAACGGCCTGTTGAATTCTATAATACAACAAATAATATTAAAATTATTGTTAATTAAAAATAATTCAATTTAAAATAAATTTTACTGAGATATTTTGTAATGTGATTTACTTAAAACATTAAATCAGATAAAGTATACACTTATAAATGTATTAACATAAAACTGCATAAATAAATAACTTACATATTAAAATATAAAATGTATCCTAAACTAATTTACATTCAAATAAAATGTCTTTAATGAATAAAGTACCTAACACACATCTTTACTCTTTAGTCACTTAAACGTTTTAATAAACAATTAAAAATATATTTACAGTTGGTTTTGGCGAAGTATAAGTTTTGAGTCATATCCGGTGTTGAACTGTTTATTGGTATTGTGACAGTATCTTTGATGGATAAACTTCATACAGTTTATCGTCATTACAATAAACCTAAATCTTTGAGAACCGCAGTGATTTTCCTGATTGTTTATCGTATAATTGTCTGTAATAAAAAAAATTAGGGTAAATTGATTCATTTAAGAATACTATTCAAATTTCTTTTATTTTTGCATTTATTCCATAATAGTACAGTATATATTTATTTGTAATAAGATAGTTAATAATAATTCTAGTCTACAGTCATAATAACGTGACAAATCTACATGAATTATGTTGAACGTAAATAATTTTATAATTTTGAAAAATATTTTTTAAAAAATTATGATCTAGTAATTTTATTAAGTTTTAAATATTGATATTGCTGGATTGAAGAATTTTAAAAAATGCATTTTTAACAATACATAATGATTTAACTAATTAATAAAATAGTTTGGTTTATCTGAATTTATAAACTATAATTAAACAAAATGAATGAATATTACTTACGTTTTATCAGTTGGTTCGTTTTCAGTAGTTGTAGTATATGATTTAGGTTTATCTAAATGGAAGTTATTTGGAGGTTTATTTTCGACAAATAATTTGAATTTATTATTTGGACATCTATCGTTCCTATAAAAACGTATTTAAATTTAAAACTTCAAAATAGACGTAAATTTATTTCGTATTTCTAGGAAATAGGGTAAATAGATATACTCTCCAGATCCACACCTTATAAAACCTTCATGAAAGAAAATCAAAGCTGGGCGGAAAATAGTTATTTTATAAAATATAAATACTTAAAAATGTATGCCGTTGTCATAGTTAATCAATAAACGTATTTTATTTTTCTAACCGTTTTATTCATATTTACGACCAAAATTTCAAAAAAGCAGTGTAATAGTATTTTGTCCGTGTCATTACGTTTTATTTCGTTAAAGGTATTATAAATTAAAGAAAATAATAGTCAAATACATCACAGTTAGGATAATATTCGCTAGTTTTAAATAACTTAAATTAAATAATTTCTATTTTTTTTGATAATAATTGTTTAATATTTGTACAGCAATGTACGTAATAA